TGTGGCAATTAGTGAGTCGAACGCGAAGTGTCAAGCCAGTACCGCATCAATTTAGGCCCAAACGGTGGCTACAGAAGTGAATAAATATCACACACACGCGGATGACCACTATAAATAACGTGCAACCTGTACATGTCTCAACCCTATCTGCGCATGACCACGACTGTGTTACTATCACCTATGATTAAGGATTCCCCACCGGATCCGAAACGTCAGGCAAATAAAACTCTTGTTCCAGTTCGCATCCTCTTCTTCTGAACTGCTCCCTGGAACTCGCATATTCTCTACTATTGGCAATATACACATGCTTTCCCAGTGAGCGTATGTGGCTCATGCAATTATTTTGTAAGCAGTTGAGTCCCACAGAATCATCCAACTCTTTACTGTGTACATAAAACTATCCGTCGGTGTTTAAGAATTGCAAGCGGAATGTGAGTCATCTATCACGAACCCGGTTTTGGTGTGTTGTTGACCTTCTAATTAAACCCGCTATAATCACACACGCACAACGCATTGCGAACACTCACCTACCTAGGTTGTTTAGCATATAGGTCAGGATAGCTTAAATGGCTCCCACGATGGGACCCGATAGTAGGAACTTCTCTCTAGTCCATACTGTGGGTGATTTTGCGTTGGATTGCAGGCAGTGTAAGTATTCCCGTGGCCCAGTACTAATGCTAACCCTAACCCAGACCTTAAATGGAACCATACAAACACTAACATTAGCACTGGTCGTAACCTTAGCCGTAACCCCCTAAAATTGACCCTAACCCCAATTATCCTGGAATTCATTGATGGACGTTCACCCGACCGCTAACGGAACTCATTTGTCCCGTTCTACCCGTACTACTAGCTGTTATGGCTGTCCGTACCTCTGGTGGGACCCAAGGCAAAGTGGGGCAGATGAGTTCCGTTTGCGGTCGGATGGACGTTCATTAAAGATTGTCAATATCCCTGGATCTAACCCGGCAAGCCAGCGAGCTTGTGGCTCAGTGGTTAGGGCGTTTGACTCTGATCAAAGAGGTTGGGAGTTCGAGGCTCGCGTGGGACGCCATTTGGGTGTGAGTACGACCGACTGACGACGGCTAATAAGCCAGAAATTACCATTCCAGTCTCCCTTGTCTTTGCCGGTAATACTATCTGCCTATCTTGGAATTTCACGCAAATTTCTTTTCCCTATCCTATTGCGGGGTTATGCAAGCAACTCCAACCATCGTTTATTATGATTAATAAATTGCACTGTCCTCCAGGACGATTAAGACCTTCTAAAGAGATGGCCGATATTTGGATGGAAGGAAAAGCAGTCTGAATGCGAATTCCTACCGACGTGGTATTTCACGGGAACAGGAACCACCCAGAAGACATGTGGCTTTGCGCCAAATTGCGGGGAAAATTGGTTCAGGATTCAGGTGGGGATAAGGGTTGCTTTTACGGTTGGGTCAAAAGTTGAGTTCAGGGTCAGAATTATGTTAAAAGTTAAGGCTTGGGATCGTGTTAAGTGTAGGATACCCACTAAGGTTACAGTTCGTTTTTGCGTTAGAGTAAAGGCACCGGAGTATTTACCTTCCTGAAGGCGACCTGTTTTAAGTGGGTGTTACGGATGCCCAGGCCGAGAGATCACCGTTCAATAACGCCTTGTGTGAGTCCCCAAAGGAAGAACAC